CCGTAAGTTAGAAACATACTTTTGACCAGAGTCTGGGTACATCTAGAAGACTTACCACCTAAGATTATTTGTTTTAAATTTTAGAGTCCATAAACCCCCAGAACGAAGTTGTATATATCATATATTTCATGCTTGTAAATGGTTTTCATTTGTAAATGGTTTTGCACATAAACGTATATACACACTCTACTTCTTTAATAATAGGCATGTTTTTAAGTGCCTTTTTATCTTCTATTATGAAAACATTCAAACATAAAAAGGTAGAAGTCTATAATGAGCTCTCATATTCTCAGCATTTTATCGCCAACCCTACCCCTCTCCCACCACACACGCACTGGATTATTTACAAACCTATCCTGGACGTTGTATCATTTAAGCATGTTTCTTTAAAAAGGCATTTGGAGAAGGAAAGAGAACACATTACAAAGTCATGAATTTATGTACTGCACTAGGCAGATGATAAACCTACTTTGCAGATTTCTTTTCCAACCATTTTACTGTAGGAACCTTTTTGCTTAAAGTAAGTTTCTCACTATTTCCTGAACATGCTAATGACTTTTTCTGTGGGATGTTTTGCCACGTTTTTTACTCTTCTGGAGCCTGCTGTCTGCCCATCTAAATGGTGTCCTTTCAAGATTTGACCCTTCCTGCTTTCTCCATGAAGCTCTTCCTGACTTTTTCTTATGAAAATGACTTCTTTTGTCTACATAGCTCACTTCCACATTCCACAATGAGTTGCTATTTACTTTTTAAAGTACATGTTCTGTTTTAACTTGATTATAACTGCTATGTGCCTCAGTCTCATGTATAAAATACACATAATAACATCTATCCCAGATACATGAGGATAACATAAAACAAGTACTCAGTGAATATCAGTAATTATTATTGTTAGCCATAAACTCCTGCAGGGAAGGAATCATACTGTCTGCCTTTGTTTTTGTTTTTGTTTTGACACAGAGTCTCACTCTGTCACCCAGAATGGAGTATAGTGGTATAATCTCGGCTCCCTGCAACCTCTGCCTCTCGGTTTCTTGCAATTTTCCTGCCTCAGCCTCCTGAGTAGCTAGGACTACAGGCACACACAGCCACACTGCTAATTTTTTGTATTTTAGTAGAGATGAGTTTCACTGTGTTGCGCAGGCTGGTCTTGAACTTCTGATCTCAGGCAATCTGCCTACCTCAGCCTCCCAAAGTGCTGGGATTACGGGTGTGAGCCACCGCACCCAGCCACATGTGCCTTTTTTTAAATCCCCAGTGCCTCATTTTCCAAAGTGGATACTAAATACACAGTTATGTTGGCTGGGAGGAAATCTTTATTTTCTATGAGGTCATTATCCAGTATTCTTTACTAATATATTCATATACATGTTCAAAATATGACCTTTGAAAGATAAACATTGAGATACTGTGCTTTTTATCTAGAATTGATCATTAGCTAATCAGTTGATATATGTTATAAAATGTTTATCACTGGCTTTCACAGGTTTAAGTTTAAAACCAAAGCTATATTAAGTTTTATCTTTGTTATATCCATTTAAAAATGTATAGAAAAACTAATATTAAACTGATAATAACAAATCATTTTTGTCTTTTTCAGATCATTAAAGCACTTAGACAATTTGAGAAATCCAAAAAATTGAGAATTATATTAAAAACTATTCAGAGATGGCCGGCACGGTGGCTTATGCCTTTAATCCCAGCACTTTGGGAGGCTGAGGTGGGCAGATCACTTAAGAATCAGATGTTCGAGACCAGCCTGGCCAATGCAGCAAAACCCCATCTCTACTAAAAAAAAAAAAAAAAAAAAAAAAAGATACAAAAATTAGCCAAGTGTGGTGGCACATAAATTTAATTCCAGCTACTGGGGAGACTGAGGCAGGAGACTCGCTTGAACCCAAGAGGCGGAAGTTGCAATAAGCCAAGATCACACAACTGCACTCCAGCTTGGGCAACAGAGCAAGATTCTGTCCCCCATCTCCCCAAAAAAACCATCCAGAGATAATCAGCATTTTCCTACCTTCTTTGCATAAAGGTTTGCATACCTTAAGATGTGCTGTCTGTGAAATCTTTGATCCCCTTTTGCCTACTGCTTAACATTGTACATGAGCACTTTTTGTCATTGAGAATATTGGTAAATAATGTGTGTGTGTGTTGGTGTGTGTGTGTGTGTGTATATATATATATATATTTTTTTTTTTTTAGACAGTCTCGCTCTGTCACCAGGTGCCAGGCTGGAGTGCAGTGGCGCGATCTTGGCTCACTGCAACCTCCGCCTCCCAGTTTCAAGCAATTCTCCTGCCTCAGCCTCCCGAGTAGCTGGGACTACAGGTGTGTACCACCACGCCCAGCTAATTTTTGTACTTTTTTAGTAGAAACGGGGTTTCACCATGTTGGCCAGAATGATCTCAATCTCTTGACCTCATGATCTGCCCACCTTGGCCTCCCAAAGTGCTGAGATTACAGGCGTGAGCCACCAAACCTGGCCACTGTAATAATGTATGTATTTTTTAATTTTTTCAGTAGTTTGCACATATTTATCATAAAAACATGACAGATTATAAAGGACATTGGAACAGTTTTTAGTTGTTTCTTTAAGGTTTTCCTGGCTATTCTTGCTTTATTTTTTCCACATGAACTTCAGAATTCATTGCCTGTTTAAAACATAATTTATTAGGGCCAGGAGCAGTGGCTCATGCCTGTAATCACAGCAGTTTGGGAGGCCGAGATGGGCAGATCACGAGGTCAGGAGTTTGAGACCAGCCTGTCCAACAAGGTGAAACTCTGTCTCTACTAAAAATACAAAAATTAGCTGGGCGTTGTGGCATGTGCCTGTAATCCCAGCTACTCAGGAGGCTGAGGTAGGAGAATCACTTGAACCCAGGAGGTGGAAGTTGCAGTGAGCTAAGATCGCACCACTGCACTCCAGCCTGGGCAACGGAGCGAGACTCTGCCTCAGAAAAAAAAAAAAAATGGGTAACTTGTTGGATTGGGTTCACTTTAAATTTATAGGTTGTCTTTACAATGTTGCCTTCCAATATAAAAACCTGGTTTAGCAGTTTTCTTAATCCATGTTATGTTGCTATTTAAAAAAACTGAAATTAGGTAATCGATTATGAAAAAAGGTTAATTTAGCTCACAGTTGTGCAGGCTAAGATGTTAGGGCTTGGCCCTCCTTCTGGGGAGGGCTTTTAGGATTCATCACAACATGGCTAAGAAGGTCAAAGGGGAAACAGACCTGGTGAAAAGGAGGGAGGAGCATCATGGCTTTATAACAACTACTCTCTCTGGAAAGAATTTATTTCCTGGAAAACAAATCCATTCTAGTGAGAGCAAGATCTCACTAACTGGAGAACAGCACCGTGACATTCATGGGAGATCTATGCGTCCCAACCCAAACACCTCCCACTAGGCCCCAAGTCCCAACAGTACCATACTGGGGATCAAATCTCTACCTCAGCTTTGGACACAAAAACAAAAACCATATCTAAACCACAGCAACGGTCTCTTCTACTTTTATGTTCTATCTATGTTAAGATTTTCTCAGTTTTTTTCTTTGATGCCTATGTTGCACATTTCTTGTGAAGCTTATTTCTAGATACTTTAGCTGTTTGTTCTGGATGCTGTCTTTTTCCATTGTCTTTCTTCTGAATAATGTGATTATGAAGGCTATTGAAGTATATATTTTAATTATGTACCCAGCCACCTTACTCAGTTTCCTTTACCTCTATAATTGTTTTTCACCAAATTCTTTAGGGCTTTTCAAGTAAGCACTCAGCCACAAGTATCAATTTTATGTAACTAAGTTTTGTTATAACTCTTACGCTTTCTTTTTTTGTTTGTTTGTTTTTTAGGAAGTGCCTCTAAGTTTAGTAAACAAGCATACTGCTGGCAGTTGTGTGAGATTGACATATTTTATCTACTGGTATATGATGAAAATGTTATTCATTGTTATATATACAGTAATATTCTTGTACTCTCTTAATTTTATTTTTTCAACTGTCTCTTTTTGGGCTTCTGCTGTGAGACAAGCACATGGTTGGTGCTGGAGAGTCAGAATCTGATAACCTGAATACACAATGTCCATCCTTCAGAGATGAATATTATAATAAAGGTATCAGTTTGCGATGAGAATAGAAAAGAGAGTTCTACATAAAATAAGAGAAAGGAAGTAACTGGATTCAAGGACACCTTCTTTAAAAGGTGATGCTTCAGCTGAATTTTGAATAGAATAAGTCCACCTCCATTTACTTTAACTGGAAATCTATGATTTTGTTTGACTGTGGAAACTTATGAAACTTAACATTTCTTAGGATTCTTGTGTTAAATTTTAACTTTTGGAATAAGAGTGGTACTATTAAATACAAGCTAAGTATCTTTTATCCAAAATGCTTGGAACTAGAGTGTTTTGGATTTCAGATTTTTTGTGGATTTTGGAATAATTGGATTATACTTACTCATTGAACATCTCTAATCAGAAATCCAAAATGCTCCAATGAACATTTCCTTTGAGCATTATTTTGGCACTCAAAAATTCTGATTTTCGAACATTTTGCATTTTGGATTAGGGATGTTCAGTCTGTAATGAATAACTTTTAAAAAACCAACAGTGAAAGAGCAGGTGCTTCTTTTTCCAAAGTCTATTAGCCTTATATTTTTCAACTTGTGGAAAATGATAGCTTAAATTTAAGGCATGTTTATCCTAGAAACAACTCAGAATTAAATGAGACTTCAGTCAGCATTTAAGTGTGTCTCCCCATCCTCCACCCAGCCAAAGACTTAGAAAAGCTAGTAACTTCACTGAGGTCATAAAACCAGCTATTGTCAGAGCTTGAAGACTGGAGAAGACCTCAAGATTCTGGTTTTAAGTGTTGTCAGACTTGTCATTCTGCTTGCCTTCTTGAAGAAATAAAAGCATCATTTTAATGTGGAACTGTCAGGCATTTTTTACCAATGCAGTTTTTCTTGTGATATTAATCTTTCTTTTTTTTTCTTTTTAGTCTGCCATTTTCAATTTTCAGAGTCTATTGACTGTAATCTTGCTGCTTATTTGTACCTGTGCTTATATTCGATCCTTGGCACCCAGCCTCCTGGACAGAAATAAAACTGGGTATGTTACTAATGATGTCTAATCACCCAAATTAATTCTTAGAGATGTTGAATGTAAATTAACATATAAATTGTTAGATAATTTAATTCCTTGTGTAATTTGGTCTTGTAATAACTTTTTTTCATTTTCTCCCTTTTAAAAATTGAAAAATTTTATATTCACTATATCTTATTAAATTAAAAGTTAAATTTCGGAAGTGACCTGAAATGTGTTGAGTAAAAAATAGCATGAGGTATTTAACCTACTGAAGGTGAATATAGATGTTAGTTGTCCATCATTTTTTATGATAATACACCATTTTCTTTGTAGACAGTGTCTTCTCTTCATTCCACCTTTTTGCTAAAGTCTCGTTGCATTTATTCTTCAGTACTTCACCCATTTGTTGAAATTATTTGTTGCCTAGCTGTGCGTGAAGTCTTTCTATCCAAGTAGACAGTTTCATTTCATCTTTCTCTTCTGTACCTGTTAACTTAGAATTAAAGCATGTGGTAGACTCTATTAAACACTCACTCCTATTGATGGGTGATTGGAATTCTAATGCAATGCATAATGTCTATCTACTAAAATATGTAACTGTTTATCTCATTAAATAATAATTACATAGTAGTAGAATACTTTCCTTATGCTATTATGTAAATTCTTCAAAGCAATTAGGTTGCATGTAGAAATGTCTGCTCCTCATTCCTTTGGGAGCAGGAATATATTCATAACATGCTACATTAACAGAGGAGTTCTCAGGGCTGCCAACCTTCAAGTAAAGGTTGAGTGGTAGTATATTTCTCCTACATAAAAGACCACAAAGAGCATGCCTAGTTTTGCATTTTAAAATATGTACTAATACAGTCAACTTTTTGAAAGCTTTTTTTAAAACCTTTATTTCTGCTTATATATGTGTTAAGCACCATTTTATTTTGATTTATAACTAAGAATTATTTTGTGTAGAAGAAATTTGTATAGGCCTCTTATCGTTCTGCTAAAATTACGTGTTTTTATGAGACTCATAATAAACTTTTATTATAGTGAGAATATATACCATGGTTAGGTAGAGATATCTAGGCAGATTGGATAAAACATTTTCTCGATTACTTCACTGTTTAAAATAACTTCCCTTTTTTTGCTATTACATCAAATAATATGGAACTAAGCAGCAGAAAAAAAAGATTGCTACATTGTCTTTATCCTGGTTTCATAGACCTGATAGCATTATCAACAAATACATTTATGGGCATTTAGCCGTAATGAATAAGCAACATAATTACATTTTTTAAATCAACTAACAGGGTGTGTGTGTGTTGTAATCCTTTTGTACCAGTTTCTTAATGATATTTACTTCTAGAATATTAGACCCTAAAAGACCTTCAGTTTGTGATCTTGTGGTTTAAGACTATGTTCTGTGGCTCTGTGTTTCCCATGTAGACTCTTCAGGTGTCCTGTTTGAGATCCCTCATCTGACTCCCTCAACCAGAGTAGCTTCACGTTATTAATGCATGTTTTAATCAGTGGGTTCTAGAATCAAGGAACCATGGCTTTGCAAATGCCTAGACTATTCCATTGTTTGATGAAGAAATGTTAGCCAATTTTAAGTGATACCTGGAGTTTGATACCTAGAGTTATCATCACATGTACCTTTAGCCTATATATGAACACAGTATGTGTAAGTCACCATTCTAAGGACTTTCTGTGTAATCACTCATTTCATCCTCATAATAACCCTTTGAGGGTGGGTACTGTTGTTAAAGAGACAATAGCTTGCTCACAGTTATGCAACCAGTAAGTAGGATTGAATTTAAGCATAGTCTGGCCTTTAGTTTATTTTCAGGCTAAAAAATTTTACTACAGAAATAAAACTTTTTAGCCTGTCAGAATGTTCATACTTTGAAATAAACTCATGTTTTTGCTTATTTCATTTAATCTAAACTATATATATTCCAGTTCATAGCAGTTTCTATACAGTGATGGTTGATATGCTAAGAGACCTTTTGCTTTGAAGTCAGGAAGTTATACTTCAGAGGAAGAACTTATATAGAACTGAACTGAACCAGAATTTTCTGTCAGTCTTATCCATTCAGATACAATGATTCGCTAGCCCTCCATCTCTTTTGGCCAGAAAAAAATATACTATACGTTTTTCTGGAATTTATTGATTTTGTTGAGCTAATAATTCGAATTTACGTAACATAATATTAATTTATCTTCATTTGCAACCATATGTAACACTATTTATAATTCTGTTATTTTGTCAGACCAACAAAGTAATGTCCTTAGTGTTACTTTTTCAGATATTTTATTCATTGATAACTCAACTGGTCTTTTTTTCAAAAATGATTTGTTGTACATGCCAAATAAGTGATAATTCCATATAATATGTAATTCATAATATATTCATTCATACAAATATAATGTCTCCATTCTAATACTTATTTCCAGAATATGTACTTTAAGTGTCATATTTAGTGAATTTACATAAAGTGTCCCCTAAACTAGGAAATTTTTTACTTATATTGAAAATATAGACACATTTTTAATGCCTTCTTAGTAAATGACACAGATAAGTAAATACCATCATTGGAATTCGTGATTATAGATTATTTACCTTTAGAACTACATTCTTTAAGAAATTAGTATAAATATTTTAGTATAAATATTTTTGGTGTCACATTCAACCAAAAAAGGTTCATTTAACATTTTATCAAAATTGATGCTTAAATTTATGTATACATTTTCTGCTTTTCAAAGTATTTTAAGTTAACTGAATAGTAAGCTCTCATTCAAATTTTTGCCACTCATTAATTTGCCCTGGGTTCGACCTATGACACTATTTATATTCCAGTTCGTAGCAGTTTCTGTACATTGATGGTTGATAGGCTATGGTGTCCTACTTTCATACATAAATGGTGCATCAACATCAAACAGATTTCAAATTTGAAGCCAGTGTTAAAGGTTAATATATTAATATACAATTCTCTATATGATATCAAGAGAATGATTTACCTTTCTGAGTAATCAATGGCTACTTTTTTCTTTTTTTATTCTATGCAGATTGTTGGGTATATTTTGGAAGTGTGCCCGAATTGGTAAGTGTCTAATCTGCCTCCATTTCTTCAGTTGTAAATTGTTGACCAATTTACTTATGTTATAGTCTCACAAATCAAATGTTAGTTTTAAACGGGCAGGCTTTCCAATTCTCTGCATTTTTGCAAAAGTTTTTAAGTTGTACCAAGCTGTTTTCCTTATGCTATTTAAAACTAGATTTGGGCCAGGTATGGTGGCTAACACTGTAATCCCAGCACTTTGGGAGGCCAAGCTGGACAGATCACCTGGGGTCAGGAGTTTGAGACCAGCCTGGCCAACATGATGAAACCCTGTCTCTTTTAAAAACACAAAAATTAGCTGGACATGCACACCTGTAATCCCAGCTACTCAGGAGCCGAAGGCAGAAGAATCACTTGAACCCAGGAGCAGAGGTTGCAGTGAGCCAGATTGCACCACTGCAGTCCAGCCAGGTCAACAGAGTGAGACTATGTCTCAAAATTTAAAAAAAGAATAAAACTAGATTTGATGGATACTTCATTAACATAGTGATAGAAAAGTCTCTCTAATTTAGATATCAAAGTCTCTAATTTAGATATCAAATACCGTGCATTCCAGGTATTGAGGGAAATAAATATATGTGTTTTCTGCACACATTGATAGTATAGAGGTATAGAGCATGCTGTTCTATATATTGTATACCATTTTGATAACTAGGATATATTCCCATCTAATGAAAGGCTTTCTGAGCAGCCATCTAAACATAATCACTTTATTACCTTATATTAAGTTACGGAATATTTAACTGTTTCGTCTGTTGAACCGGTGTGGTCATAGCCGAACTGTTTGACTCAGGTTAAAGTATTACACTTGATCTTACCTAAAAGACCAAGAAGCAATTAAAGTTTAGCTAGGTGTAGTTGTCTTCCAGCTTTCAATGATAAGATTAGTAGCATCATACCTGTTTTAGTAGATAATAATATATTCCTATTCAGTTGTCCTGTGTATGTAACATTTAACACTGCCCAGCACATAGTAGACTCTGAAATGATTAAGTGAATGAATTAAAATGTGTTTTATTGCTGTAATTCATCAGTATTCTTGAATAATAAATTATAGCCTTTTTTAACTTTTTTAATTTAAAAAAAAAAAAAAAAAAACTCCAGAGCATTTGTACATATACCACTTGGACTGAAATTGAATGTTTCTTATCTGCACTCTTTGGAATTACTTGCATGACCAAAGAAAAACTGTTTTCCTTTAGCACTCTTCTTCTAACATTGAATTTATGCCTAACTACTTTTTTCTTTCATAAAGCTATTAGACTTTTATAATGAAAAATATTTTTTCTGTGTTTGACATTTAGTGTGGTTAGCCAGTCCGACGACAGCCTAAATTCTCCAAACTAATCCCTTTAAATAGCATGAAGAATTGAAGAATATCTCCATTAGATAAACTGTGTTCCCTTTGAGTATTGTGTTTTATTTTTGTTTAAAACTTCTCAGAGATATGGAAAATTTAGAAGATGTCCCTAAAGGAAGCAAACTTAATGAAATTGAAAAATACAAACTGAGTATTTGTAATGCAGGTATACCTCAGAGATATTGCATGGTCCATCTCAAGAAATCATTTTCTTTGTTCATAAGAAGCAGTTACTCATTTATTTTGATTTTATCATGAGATTATTGTAATTCAGTCACATATTAAAGCTCCCCTTCTAATTGAAGTTCTCTTGCTCTTTTCATCATATCTGCAGTTACTTCTTCCACTGAAGTATTCAGTAAACCATTCTGTAAACAGATATGCTGTTTACAGCATCCAGCCTTAATTGTTCCATTTCTAGAGCACAGGCAGAGCAGATTTAACATAATTGTTAAAAGCTGTAGAATTTTCAGCAGGTGAATGAGCATTGACTTCAGCTTAAAGTCACCAGCTACATTAGCCCCTAACATGAACCAGCCTGTCCTTTGAAGCACAGAGGCCAGGCACTGACTTCTCGTCTCTAACTGAGATGCCATTTTTTCCAGTAGAAGGCTATTTTGTCTACATGGAAATCTGTTGTTTAGTGTAGCTACTTTCATCAATTAGCTAGTTTCTGCATAACTTGCTGTAGTAGTTTCTTAACATTTATCAGATAACTTTGCCATCTTATATATGCACAGTTTATGGTACCCCACAGCAATTACAATGGTACCATGAAAGATCAATGATCACAGATCACCATAAAAGATACAGTAATAATGAAAAGGTTTGAAATGTTGGGAGAATTACCAAAATATGACACAGAGACACAAATTGAGCATGTGCTATTTTCAAAAAAAAATGTCACCAGTAGACTTGGTCAGTGCAAGGTTGCCATAAACCTTCAGTTTTTTTTTTAAAGGAGCAGTATCTGCAAAGTGCAATAAAATGAAATATGTCTGTACTTAGAGATTTTTTGAAAGAAAACCTGGGAACTGATGCAATATATCTGAAGATGGTTATAGTATCTTCAAATATACTAGTCTTAAAAATCTTTAAAGTACTGGGCCGGGCGCGGTGGCTCAAGCCTGTAATCCCAGCACTTTGGGAGGCCGAGGTGGGTGGATCACGAGGTCAAAAGATCGAGACCATTCTGGTCAACATGGTGAAACCCCGTCTCTACTAAAAATACAAAAAATTAGCTGGGCATGGTGGCGCGTGCCTATTAATCCCAGCTACTCAGGAGGCTGAGGCAGGAGAATTGCCTGAACCCAGGAGGTGGAGGTTGCAGTGAGCCGAGATCGTGCCATTGCACTCCAGCCTGGGTAACAAGAGCGAAACTCCGTCTCAAAAAAAAAAAAAAAAAAAAAAAAATCTTTAAAGTACATGTAAGGGTCATATGTGGTTAGCTATTGAAATAATTTTGAGAGCAGGTTTTCTTCCCTTAAGCTTTTAAAGATAGGCAAGGCCCATTAATGATGGAAATTGTAAGCATAGTACTGAATTATCCAGAAGTCCTTTCTAAATCTGTGATGATGAAATCATAAGATTCTTTGGCCTTTCCAGTTTCTTGTTACGGTAAATGATGGAAGTATAAGCATAAAGGGCTTCATAGAAAAGTACTTCTTTCAAGGCTGTCATTCTAATATAATGACTATTGAAACAGACTTTATCTTCCAGAGAAATAAATGTGATTTTATCGTATTCAACTATTCTTCCTCAGTGTTCTCCCTTATGGTGATAGGTGTAAGAGTCTTTCTTTTGTAATAAGTATCGTTACCTTAAACAGGTAAATTCACAGATGATACAGCCTCGATAAGTCGTTACTAGTCCAGTACATTTGACAAAATAGAGAGACCGTTTTGATAGTCACAGCTGGACTCAGGGACAGATAGTGGGTAGAGGTCAGGGATGTTGCTAAGCATCCTAGGATGCACAGGGAATCTATCACAACAGAATTATCAAGTTCACAATGTCCATAGTACTGGAGTTGAGGAAGGCTGGTCTAGATTCACAGAAATTTGTGGTGCAGACTTATCCAGCACTCAGTTATGAACAACTGCAAACCCTGAAATAATAGGAGAAATCTTAAGCACTTTAAAAAGAACCAAGAAGAGAGTGACAAAATCACATCCTCAATGTAATACTGATAGTTAGCGGTAAATGTAGATACACACACACCAAACTGCATGCTTCAGAGAAAAGTTACTCTGAAAAAGAATACAGCCAAGAAACAGTGGTAAGAATACTTCAAGTAGAATACAAAGAGAGAAAATAATGGAAGAGCAGGTCTGGAGTTAAGAGGCATTGTTTTCATCTCAGTTTTATTAAGTTGCTAATGCATAAAGAAAATATTAAAGTATTTTAAATCCATCTTATGTCATAAGAGAAGTGTATACAGTTCCATTTAGTAGCCAGCCCACACAGCCCTTTTGTTCAGTTATTACTTGAAAAGACTACCGCTGAGTTTAAGGTATGTAGTTTGTATCTTTTAATGATTTCCTGTAGTATGATCTATTTTTATGTCTAATTATAAATAGTGTCTAATATCTTTTTTTTTTTTTTGCTTTTTATTTTCATTTTCCTCTCTTGAGTATATGAATGCCATAGGTTGAATGGTTCATTTTAAATGTTCATTTATGCCAATTATGTGAAAGCATTAGCTTTTCATTTTGGCAAAGTGACTTAGAAAATGTGCTGATATGCTGCTTTCTCAAGCATATGCATCTCTCTTATCTTGACACAGAATATATCCACAAAGAAAGGATGCAGTTTTAATGGGAAAAGACCTAGCCAAATCATCTTATCATGTTACACATCACATTACAGCAACTGTTTTACATTCACTTATGCAGACCTAAGACCAGACAAAAAGTAACATTCTTACTCAAGTTCAACCAAAGATGTTTAGCTCTACCACATGGCAGTCTCTTTTAAGAAAATTAAAAACAGGAAAATGAAATCCGTATGTAAATTATAGCATTCTAAGTTGAAGGATGAGGAAGAAGGGAACTTCCTCAAAAATTAATTTTTACCATATGGAAAACTTAGGACAGTATTAATTTTTTCTTTTAAGTATTTAATGAGACTATATGAGACAATGAGGGTATATAGCCCTAGTAAGAGTGACGGGATTGCTTATGAAGTCTTTCTGAAATTTATGTACAAATGAGGTTGTTTTTGTTTGGTTTGGTGACTTGGGCTTTTTCCTCTAGGAGAATTAGCATTGTTTAAAAATTGTGATCCAAGATATTTTTTAATTTCTTTGTTTTCATTTGAGGTGATGGTATTCTAAAAACACTTTTACTTTCTAGATTTTTTTTTTTAAGCCGGAAGGCAGATAGAACAAATACTTTCAGAAAAACCCCAAAAGTTTATTTTTTTGTGTATGTATATAATGTTTTCTATGGAAATTATTAAGCAGACACATATGTAAATTCAGTAACATAGCAGTGTAAGGTCAGTGGGGAAGATATAAAAATGAAAATGACCTTAAGAATTTTAGTTAATCTGGCCAAGCGCGGTGGCTCACGCCTGTAATCCCAGCACTTTGGGAGGCCGAGGCGGGTGGATCATGAGGTCAAGAGATCAAGACCATCCTGGTCAACATGGTGAAACCCCGTCTCTACTAAAAATACAAAAAATCAACTGGGCATAGTGGTGCGTGCCTGTAATCCCAGCTACTTGGGAGGCTGAGGCACGAGAATTGCCTGAACCCAGGAGGCGGAGGTTGCGGTGAGCCGAGATCCCGCCGTTGCACTCCAGCCTGGGTAACAAGAGCGAAACTCCGTCTCAAAAAAAAAAAAAAAAAAGAATTAGTTAATCAGGATGGTTAGGAAGAACATTTTCTTGAGGTATTTTGCTGAACTTGCTAAGTGGAATAAGGAGTTTCATTAAGAGTTGACTTTAAACATTATAGTAAAGCACAAGTGAAGATAGTATAAACCATCTTTACTAGAGGATGCCAGGCACGTACCCAAGATTATTTCTAGAATAGCTTCTTTTTCTTTTCTTACACTGCCCTCACAGCAGCATTTAAATGTCAGGTGCTTTATGAATTAGTATAGCCTTGCAATTATTGAAGGAACAAGAAAGAATGAGTTTGAGTTAATTCACAATGAAATGATCTCTATCTATTTGTAAAACAATTCGCAAGCCAACTTCAGATTTACTTTATGCAAAGGAAAGCATCCAAATGTAAGCATTCCTTAAATGTATGTGAAAAATTGACTCATACCGAAGTGGTTGGTTTTAGTTCTACTTTTCTAACCCAGAGTAAGCATACTGTAAAAGATTTGATACAAAATATATCTCAGAAATAGTTTTTCTAACATGTTTTTCATTAAGCATTTTAATTTGTTCATTTTTAAAGTGCAGTTTTATTGACCATCCTCTATTTTCATTTATGAATGCTCCCCCTTTCCTGTGCCTTTAAGTGTCATGAATTGCTACCAGTAAGGAAAAATACTCTGTTTCAAATTCCTTTTTAAGGGGTGAAATTTTATTCTTTTTATAGAAAAAAATAAACAATATTTCTTTGGCCTCAGTTGATTGAGATTGTTTCTCTTGGATCTCTGTCCTACATTCCACATTGTATTTTTTAGTGTCTGAGTTTACATAGTGACAAAGAAATGATGCTTTCGAGGTTTTCTAAATACGTGAAGATAGTCTGGGAAATAAATTGATAAATTAATAGTTTAGCCCCTTCTGTATTGTACTTGTTTGTTATGTTGCATCTATATTTTGTCCCTGCCCCACCCCCAGTGTGTGGGCCTTCTAGGGAAGAATGTTATCTTGATTCTTATGTATCCCTTCCTTGTAGTAAGTAATAACCTTATCATAGCCAGGTTAGCCACTCAGTTAATCAAGATGAATATCTCCTTTTTTTCAACAGGTGAACGGAAGAGTCCTTATGTTGCAGTATGCTGTATAGTGATGGCCTTCAGCATCCTCTTCATCCAGTAGCTGGGGAAAATGCTAGAATATAATTGCCATCAGATTTCATTGTGAACAAGGACATATTGCAGAAAATAATGGAAAGGATGGTTAACTCTTATCTCCGAACATTGAAATGATATACATTTGTAGATGCTGTTCTCTGTTTTTATGTTATTGGACCAATGTTCTACATAAATAATTAAGATGTAACCATTTAACACTCTGTAACAATCAACCTCAGTACTGTCACTACAATATAACATTCTGCAAATGCCATTTTCTTGTGTCAGATACCAAATTTTAGTGAGGTATCACTAAGGCACATAGTAGAAAACAAAATTGGTTAATTACTCATGTTCCTTTCACTGTGATTTGGAAATGATTTAATTTTTATAGAATGAGACCCTTTTTTGGACTAGCTTTTTTATTAAAATGGCTCAATTTGTGTTGATAAGGATTGCTTTCATATAAATAGTGCTTGCTTTTCCTCTGGGCACACCATTTTGATCATTAACCAGAGTACCTGTACTCTTAGCAAACTCTAATTTATGACTCTTTAAAATATTCAAAACAAGCATATTGAGTTCTTAAGGAGGAAAATAAATGAGCTGTAACTTAAAAGTAGTATTGAGAAAATGTTAGTATTTAACATTAGTGGATTTAGCCAAATGGCATAGCAGTCTCTGAAACCTTCTGTCAAGTATAGGTAAGCACCTCTTGTGCGTGAATTTTTAACAGAGAGCTGCCTGTCTGAAAAACACAGCATTCTTTTCTAGAATGAAAAGGACAATTATGAAGTAATTATCCTATATGTGTTTTTCATTCTTTTTAGTGTCTCATCTTCAAAAATGAAAGATTTATTTTAACTGCCCTAAACAAACTATATTTTTGCTTTGTTTTTTAAGGCACTTTAAATCCAGTTTGTGTTTTGTCAGGTTGAACTCGAATCTCTTATTACTTTGTAGGTGATAAATAGTTTTCAAATCTACTAAATTGTATACTGTGGCATAAGTATCTTTGAGCTTTGATAGGGAAAGAAGACCTTCAACAATTTTTAGTCTAGGCAAGAGAAACATTAGGAATGTGACTTCTAAATTTTACAATAGAGCAGTTATTTTAAGTTCATGCTTAATATTTCTTAAGATTCAACTGAAATTCAGTTAAAATGTCGAAGCTAAGAGGAACTTAAATCTTAGCTAAAAATTACATGTTGTAATATTACATTGTTCACAGCTGTTAATTCACCATAAAGGTAAAATGAAGAAACTCTCCCATTTAAAAAAAAAAAATTTATTTCTAAATTAATCTGCAAGTAGTTATTTATGCAGAAACAAAGTATGGAACTGAAAACCACCTATTTTTATCTTAGACTAATTTAAACCACCTGGAATGGATTCTAGGAAATAAGTAAAGCTTGCGTGTTTCCTGTGGTGGTTTTTTGTTTGGGTGTATTTTTTGATTTTGGTTTGATTTTTCTGTATTTTGTTTTCTGGGGATTTTTTGTTTGTTTTTGCTTTATTTGTTTTCTTTCTCTCTCTCTCTTTTTTTTTTTTTTTTTTCAATAGAGCTGTTATAGGTTATCGGTGTATTTATTTTATAATTTTGGCTTGTCTGTGGCAGTTAAAAGTGGTATATTTTGCTTCAGACAGGTAATCAAGTTATAATAATTGTTCTGCCTCTAACCTGCCTCTTGGGCTTTACATTAGGTCAAGGATTTTCAGGATTTCTCTAAAATAGGACTCTTGTCAGCGTATCCATGCTGAGTAAGTCACCTTCCTGGCTCTAATTTCTGGGTGGCCATCTGTTGTCCAGCTCTGCTGCCAACTGGACTTTCTGAGAGCCACGTCAACTAATTTTTTATATGCTAAGACAAATCTAATATGAAAAGAGGAAGAATATTCTAGATATTCTAAGGCATTTCTTCATTTGGCATCTCAGAGGAGGTAGGTGGAAAGTAGAGGAAGAGATCATTTTTGGGGAAAATTTGTGGAAACATAAAACTTTTTGCTGTGTATGAATGCTAAACAGTGGGAGGCAGCGTATTTCTAACAACAACCAATCTGACCCTTTGAAACACAAGCTCCTGGGGAAGCCGGGTAAAGACACAGTATGAATAAAGGCAATTAACATTTTCTTTAATATATTTTTTTTAAAGAGGACCACTAAATCCTGTTCTCTAACCCAAATGGCAGTGTAGGTGGTTTTAAGCCCACAGAACATTGAAATATGTCTCTTGTAGTATTGGTGGGGTGGTGGGATGTAGAAGATTGAAGATCAACTTAAGCATCAAATAGAATATCTTTTTTTTTTTTTTTTTAACTTTTAGGTTCAAGGATCATGTACAGGTTTGTTATATAGGTAAACTCATGTCAAGGTGTTTTGTTGTACAGATTATTTTGTCACCCAGGTACTAAGCCTAGTACCCAGTAGTTATTTTGCCTGCTCCTCTCCCTCTTCCCACCCGTAACCCTCAAGTAGGCCCCAGCGTCTGTTGTTCCCTTCCTTGTGTCCTTGAGTTCTCATCACTTACCTCCCACTTTTAAGTGAGAACATGTAGTATTTGGTTTTCTGTTCTGCATTAGTTTGCTGAGAGTAATGGCCTCCAGCTCAGATGGAATATCTCTATCACATAGACCTGTTGTTACAGGGCAGGATCGGATGATATACACTGAATTCTTCAGCTTACTAAGTTCAGTTGCTCTCCCTAGCCTCTTTTCTGGCTTCAGAGTCTTTTGATTCCATCTATCCTGGCATTTTTTGTGTGCTGATATTTAGTTCTGGATTGGCTTCAGCTGTGCTAATAGGAGGGGCATTGTCTTTTCAAGCAATCTTAAAAGGTGATCAATCAGAAGGGCAGAGTCTGAATCCCTTCTGTATCCTTAATAATTTGAGGATCAAGTCCAGTGTCTTGTTAATGCCCTGTTCTTCTGTGCCAGGCACTATCTTGAATGCTCTTACATGTTCGAAGTCAAAATAGCTCATTCATAGTGGGGATTATAGTAACATGCAACTTGCAGTAGATTCCTTCATCTTAGTAATAAGATGATTGATCTAATTAGGACAAAACAGGGATTTGAATGAATTAACTTGTCCAGGTTTACAAAGTAAAAATGAGCAGATCTCTGCCTGATTTTGTGAAAAAGATTTAGCACTGGTAAATGGAATACTTCTATTTCTACACCATTCTTTCAGTATATCATCATTGAAGACAGGAAGATAGGCACACAGATTCTTCCCCGTAGTAATTCATAATGTACTAAGTGAAAGAGATGAAGTATGTATTACAAAGTACAATGCAATGGTGTTATTCAGATAATCCCAGGATTCTAGAAGTAAACAAAGGTGACAGTTCAGTCAGGGTATGAACTTCCAAAGAAGCATTGCTTAAGCTGAACTTGAGAGCATTGTGCAAAAGCACAGTAGTCTGTTAACCAGAAATAACCTAGCTTGTGCCACTTAGGGAGTACCAAGCCATAAGCCTAGAAAAGTGGACAGAGGTTAGATCCTAAACTGTCTTGTGTTTTTCTCATTCCTATTGATTACCTACCTCAGAAATGAAGTTGGATATGTTTTTCCTCCTTCCTAACACAAAACTACTTAAAGACAAAAATTTAAATTCTTTGGTAGATGGGCAAACAAGGTTGAATGTATTCATGCCTACCTTATTTCGGACTAGAAATACGGTAGTATACTCTCCGAAAACTTGCCTGAATAGTACGTAAGGTGGAGGCAACTGACTTGTTAGGTCAGTATTTTTAGAAACTCTTAATAGCTTATACACCACTGATGCCAAAAGCAGCCCTGATTGTTAAAGCACACACCTGCACAAGAAGCAGAGATGGTTGCATTTTACATTTCCTGGGTACACAAAATAAATTTATAAAAAGCAAGAACTTACGCTTTGTGCAAAGCCTTTGAGAAGTTACTGGGTCATAGGAAACTTATAACAAGAATGGAAGATTCTTAAGGACTATTCTTCACTTTCTTTGGTATCCAGTAACAGTAGATGTTCAAAATATGTAGCTGATTAATACTAGTTTTGTAAATGCTGCACAACTGTGTGGTTATTATTAAGCAAGTCACTACTAGCTTCTGAAAAGTAGTTTCATAGTTATTTATACACTGCCTTCCATGACTTTTACTTTGCCTTGAACTAATCCCTACAATCTGAAATGCTATTTCAATATCAGAAAAAAAGGGGGAGGTGGAAATATATTTCCTGTGATTTTTAAGAGCACAGAGAATCATTCTCATATCTGGCTAGTTCATATGTCTAGTGTGTAATAAAAGTCAAGATGAACTCCTAAGAGCCTCCCACTTTTGTCTTATTGTCAGATGCATGAAAGCAGTTCTTAGAGGTTAAATATGGAAATTTCCACCTTTTTAGTAGGATGGGAATAGAGAAATGTTCTATTTTTTCCCCCTGACCATTTTAATTCATGGAAGGCCAGGATTCGTTTGGGGTTATTATATTCATTGTTGTTTTGTGTCCTGATAGCTATTCTGTCATTATATTGCTATTTCATTGAGTATGCTTTTAAGAACCTAAATGACTCCAGTAGTTTGCTTTTGGGCATGAAGTCTTTAATTCTCTCAGAGATGGTCAGATTGAATTCTGAATGAAAGTGACAGTTACCAATTACTGAGTTATTTTCAACCTTGTCCTTAACTGGGAGCCTTCAGATGCCCAAACATTCTGGCAAGTAGCTATCATTTTCTGTCTAAAATCTGTTTGTGAGCAGTGTCCATCAGAGTCAGATTATTTAGCCAATGTATGCTGTTACTAGTATTTATTGAGAAATAAGAAAAGGTTTGTGCCTCGCTTTGAGGAATCTGGTCATCCTGCTGTTAGCTTCCCAAAACAATAAACACAGACAAACCTGGTTAGATTTAGATCTCAAAAAATACTTCAGATATGAATTGAAAGGCAGAATCTTAGTTGTTTCCTTCAGTATATATTGTAAACATTCCCTACTGCTCTATTACACCACCAGTTGATGTAAGACATTATAGGAAAATCACTAAATTTCCAATTTCTATTAATAACAAATCAAAAGAATTGAAAGTGGCTTAGATTAAGACCACTGAATTTAATATAACCAGGAAAGCAAAATCTGTTTTTAACTCAGAGGGTTTACATTAATGTCCTTAACCGTAACAGATTCATCTGGGGGTGGAAGGGAGGGCAAGGGCAAGCAAGAAGACATGAGTATTAGAAACAAGGGTCAGTTAGTTCACACACACTTTGTGGAGAGGAGAACTCTCAACACAGAAGCTGTAATGCCCAGACACTACTGTTTGAGCTTTGACGAGGGAAGTAGCCTGAAAGCAAATGTGTAGGGATATATGGTTTGTTCCCAAAGTGCTAAAACCTGTAATTTATCAGCCACCTCAACTTTTTTGAAGAAATTAAAAAGAAGGAAATAGACGTGAGGAATTTCAAGAAGGCCAGCATCAAAGAAAGAATCTTTGCAGTAACCAAGTGTTAAAAGTGATCTGGAGGCTCAGGATAACACCAAAAGATTTGACCTTGGAAATTAAGTTACAGAAAACAGAATACAACATTCTTTTGAGTTCCAAAAGAGTAGATCACATATCTTTTTTTATTTTACTTGATAGAAATAGTTTGCTTGCTTTTTAAAAAGTGTTTCTGAAGATGACAAGCATCTTCAAAGAAGTTTTATTGAATCTGTTAACATGTAACAAGGAAACTTGACATAGACAACTTAGTGAATTACTAGGCAATTAGTTTGACATGCCATGAAGAACAGAAATTGGGCTAGAACTTAGGATAATCCTGAGTCCCCCT